TAAAAGCATAAAAACTTTAACAAGTACAAAATGGTTACGAGGTCGGTTCCAGGGACCAAGCCCATGCTGAAAAAGATTACTGCCAAGCTCTACTAATTATTATAGGTAAGAACATAAGAATAGTATATATAACCCTCTCACGATGGGATTGGTCAAAATGACTGAGTTTGTAATGCCAGAGTAACCATTAGGGTTCCCATATTCTAACTTTTAATATGTTTTCTCTATTTTACAAAATTTGGAAAGCTTTTAGTAATCGTTACAAGTCTTTTGTACAAAAAAAAAAATCAATTTTTTATTTAAGTATTTTTACTAAAAATTCGTCTGTGAATATATGGAGTCAGTGTTGACTGCCCTAAATGCAAAGTGATTTTCGTGTTAAGATTAAAAATACTTTTGCTCATCTGAAAATTGTCAAATTTCATTTGCATGGTCTCTAACACCTTCCAAGTAAATATTAAACATATTATTTTCTGTAAAACTTTATATTCTATCTGTTATTTTCTCTACCCTTGTAACCACCATAAAACAATACAAGATAATCTAAATTACCCCTGTTTTTCCTTCTAGAATGACTGCAAATTGTAACAGGAAACTACAGTTATTTATCCTAAATAGCTTAAAGCTTGTTAACAGTATACATCTGTTTATACTTAACTTTATTGTTTTATTACCATTTGAAACATGTCTAACTAATAATCCTGCCACACAAGTTGTAAGTCACTTAGTAAATGTGTAGCTCATGTTACCGTAACACACAAGCGGCTCATGAACATAACTGTAAAGAATATTTATTATTATCATTTTACCTAATCTAACCTAATAAGTTTCTAATTTCTACATTTCAGTTACTTTTATAATTATAAGAATACACATGAAAAACAAGAAATAGAGTACTTATCCGAGTCCTGTTTTTTTTGTTCCCGACTAATGGCACTACTACACTAAATTTTTATTTAGTTAAAAAATGCACTTAAGAACACAGAATAATAACATACAAAGCAAACAATGTCCTATACCTATCATAATTTCTCTGGCTTTCTAGAAGCTTTCTTTTACAAATAGAAGTGAAATAGACAACTTTCTGTACAGAAAATGTTATATGTCATTGGATAGATTAAAACTTTGGCTTTCTATTGGTTATAAATAATACAGCGTAAGACATTAGAGAACTATTGACAATTTGTGGAAAAAGAGGATGTGACAGGTGGGCGTGGCAAATGGTTTTGATTTTCTTGTTTATCGCTCTGTAACTGAATAAGAGTGAAGGTTATAAAAACTGTGCTTTGCTTGAGTAATATCTATATTATGATGAGTAACTTGCATTAAACTAGTAATTCTCGGAGGGGTGGTAAATAAATCACAGAATAAGGAAGACCTAGGGAACAAATGTCAAACTAGGGGAGATTGAGGAATGTTTTAAATATTTCCTTATAAGATTAAGAACTTAAAACTTGTGTAATAATAAGATTAGATACATTAACTTCGTTTTGATGCCAAGTTTATTTGTATACAATGATAACAAAGTAACTTAATCAAATTTTAAATGTATCCCTAAAAATTCATGACATGCACACTTTGACCTGCCCACGGCAAGTGTTAAATTAGCTACATTCTTCATTTAATTGCTTTTTAGTTTTGATCAATGTAGGTAGCTTATTATAATCAGAAGTTTATAATAATTAAGACAACAGCAAGCATACTGCTTTCATAATTGTTAACTCATCATGACATACAAAAATGTAAGGATATATAGGACAAGTACACAGTAAAATCAGATAAGTGGACATATCCTTGCCCTATAGAACTAGTTATGTATATACTTAGCACCAAACCCAGATGCAGACCATATCTTTGAAACAGGAAGTTACCGTAAGTAGTTTAGCTGAAAGTTGGCCTCTTCTAGCATTACTTCATACATCTGCTGGATTCGAAATGCTAGAGACTCCAATAAGGCCCTAGTCATATGAGCTTTGGTAGTTCTGTTGCTTATTCCAATAAAACCAGACACAGCTAGATTGTCATTTAGAGGAGCCTAAAAAAATAAATGTGTACAATGAACATGTAAACAGGAATCATTAAAGAAGTTATTTTGACTAAGAAAAATGTTTAAGAACTTGCTTCAAGATTAGTATGTAATGTACTACATTAAAATATTTGTCATTAGTGTGTCAAAGGTAGTAATAAGTTTGTGTTGTGTGTGTGTGTGTGTGTGTGTGTGTGTGTGTGTGTGTGTGTGTGTGTATATAGTTATTCAGAAATTAATAACAGAATTCACAAATCTCAGATGTTAGGATCAACATATACTAACTAAAATCAGACTACAGTTGCTTAGAAAATCATTATTTCTTTACTTTCTGCTGTCTTATAAAAATGTAGAGGTTAGATATGAAGCAATATGCCTGCCAATTTATACATACAAAAAACTGACAATAATATACAATGCAACAGCATTTTGTCCTTCAGAAAGCTGCAGTTATGGTATATGCTTGTCAACTGGACTGTGACTTTTTCATTACATCAAAAATTTCTTAGAAAATAACTTAAAAAAGAAAATTGAAAAATATGACAGTTATATCATGGTACAACCATAGGTTCATAATGCATGAATACAAAACATATGCTCATCAATTAATGCAAAATACTACTTATCCTTTCTTGTTGGAATGTTCAAATGAATGGCATATTACACATAAGGGGGCTAAAATGACCAGATCAGGTGCAGCTGTACTTATTTTTAAACTACTAACTAGAAGGAAGAAAGCCAGGAATACCAGCTGCCACAAGGTTTTTGGTACAGTTCTTTGAACCAAATAATGGGATTGACAAACATCTTTATAATGTTCCTACAGCTGAAAGATTGTAGTGTTCAGCAGCATCACATTCTAAACCAGAGGTTAGCAATGATTTCCACTTATTAATATTCAGAATTTAAGACCCCCCTCGCATAGGTCACCATTGTTTTGTTCTTTCATTTAGATTACAATATTATAATTTTATTATGTGTGTTGTATGATTATAGTTAGTAGTTTATAACATGTAAATATAGTATATTAACACTGTAATAACGTAGAAGGCATAAGTTAACAATTTTTTTTTTTTCTTCTCTGAATTAGCATACCACGCAAAATCTCTTCATATGCCTTGGGTTACCAACCCCCATTTTGAACCCTACACCTTTCTGTAACCTGACACATTAACCAAAATGCTACATCTAGCTTCCTCTGAATGCTTAAGCGCTTTTGAAAGACAAAAAAATAGGTTCTCCAGTAATTGTAATTTACACAAAAAATATAAAACTCCAGGTATTTATGAAGAACTAAAAATAACATGTTAAAATTGAATAAACATTAAATTCCTTGGGGGAAAAAATTAATAAGACCAACTTGTAGCTTTTACTTGTTTCTCAGGTTTTACTTTTTTTTCTCTGACTTTTGGCAAAGAGGGAAGTTAGTCAGCAACATCCTACCCCATCCACACTAAGAGAATGACTGTTACCCTTATAATGCACCCATAGCTTAAGGTACAAGGAATATGTTAGTTGGATTCCACAGATTTGAACCCAGCTCTGAAATCCAGGGCCAACCTACACCCTCTTGGTAGATAAGCTCACAAATATAAGTTGGCTTTATGCAACCACAGAAAGTGAAAATTGTTACTGGTGACAAAAATAGAACATACAGAAACACAAATAAAGGAAAACATAATTAACTGTCGGTACAAAGAGAAAAAATCACCACAATAAGTTTACAAATTATTAATAACATCATTAATTAAACAATAATACAGTCAAATTAAAATTATGAATAATCATACAGTTCTCCCAAAGACAAATAGGATAAAAGTACAACTATCAACCATTCATCACATTAAAAAAAATATTCATGAAGCCCTAGAGCTATAAACAAGTAACACTAGTCTTCTATATGGGTAAAGGCAGATAAAAAAATCATAACATCAAAACTTCTTTGGTATAAATTTTTCACAATATTGCATTAAAGTATTCAGTGGAAAGTTTGTAGTTCATGAAATTTAAATACAAAAGTAGAGAGATATTTGGATAACTACCATGACCAATTAAAAGTTTCAGTATCAGAAAAAAATAATATATGGAAAAGAGACCATTTAGACCTTCAAGGCTGTCCCTGCACACACATTCTTGAGAAAAAATAAAACTTAAACCCACCTAGTAAGTTAGATAAATGATGGAAAATTACAATATTCTAAAACCTACCAAAAACACTTGGTTTTACTTACTTGAAGGCCACTGAAAGCCGGTACAAAAAACACACCATCCGAATCTGCAAAAAATGAAGTACATTAAATTCTTACACCTGCATTAACTTGTTCAATTATTCACATTTTATGTAGCTTTATAAAAATTGAGTATACAAACTAAAAACAAAGTACTTAGAAATTATGTCTCTAGAAATAAAAATTTATAAGGTAATAAGTGAATGCATTTGTTGTCATTTGACCACTAATGGAAGTCAATATGTACTTTGAATTCTATAGCTGTCGTTAGGCTCTACATTAGAAAGTACAAATTGCCATTATTTTAAGTTCCAATACTAAAAAAAGAGTGCAACCATACAAATGATGAAATGAGTTTTTAAATGAAATATATTTCAGCAATATTAGGTACTTAAGTTTTGTATAACAGCAAGTTATTAACTTACATGGATGTTATGAAAATAAAAAGTATGTACAAATTTCTCAAGATTAATGAAGAAACATCTAGAACTTCCTAGAAAGTTATCTAAAATGACTGTGCTGGTTCATCAAAACATTGTGAAGTATAAACTAGTCATTAAGCATGTTTATTAGATTTTTTAAAAACCTTTTACATAACTTTGACTATGATGCTTCTAAAGGCAAAATTGAGGACTTATAATCATATTTCTCGAGTATTCTTTTAAAAGTTTTATTACAAAAAATTGTACAACAGAAAAGGGTATGTTCAGTTTTCAAAAATAGCTATCTACAGTTTACATGTGCAGCTGTTTTCAACAAGACCATATTGCAGTAGTTATATTACTCTAAGTTTGTTAGTTTATGATAACTAAGAAAAAGTTGGTCAACTTGCTTATCAAACCATAAAGTACACTTCAAATTAAAAACCTAAGAAATATGTTTGGAACATCACATCACGAGGCATGAGAAATCAAGCATGACACACACTGGTTTTTATATAGTTTAGATAAATATGAATTATTATTCTTGCAAAGTGTGCAAGAAACAGATAAAAAAATCTGAACTTTATTTTTTACCTAACTAACCTTCGAAAACTGAAGTATTGTTTAACATTCTAATGTTAAAATAAAAGCAAAGGTTTGTTAGACTATCGTTATTTTAAAACCTTTCTTCAACTCTTCTTCCAATACTTAATACAAACTGTGACACAAAAACTCTCCAACACTTCTCCCACTATTTAGTATAATAAACTCTGTGACACAATCAGTAGAATAATATAACTAGCTTAAAGAACAAACGATGCATACTTTACACAAAAACATTCCTCGTATATTATGACAACTTCATCACTTACTTGGCACTGAATTTGCTAAGTCATTTGTTTGAGCAACATCATCATATAAACCTGAAATAAAGGGTATAGCTACTGAGTCCTACATATCTGATTTAATATAGAATTGTTTTTCCACCTCTTTCGCAACATAAAACTGTATCTATCACAGTACTTTCTAATTTATGAACAATACTGTCCTGCAACAAAGTTAAGATTTTGTGAAAAAAATAATCTGAGATTAATAAAAATGATAATCATGGTAACTACTAAATAGAAATAGGTGATGAAGATAGAGAAATGCTAAATATTCTGCTAAATAGCAGCACATGAGCTTCTGGTCATGTGGCCCATTAGGTTTGTATTCTGTGAAAACTGTAACTTTAGCATTTTATAAAAACCAGATCAAAAAATGAAGCTCTCACTTACATTAACTTTTAAAAATGGAGACTAACAAAATATAAACTTGATACAGTAAGCTATACAAGATGTACCATATAAAAACCATCTTTAACTGATTGTATCAAAAATATATAAAAGGAAAAACCAAAATATTTCTTATATTTTCAATAATTCCTTATTAAGAATTGGTTTAAAAATATGTAAAAACCTTGTTTTAAATTATACTCCCATTATGAGATATATAAGTGACTTATGTTAAAAGTTCAGTCTAAATTTGTTATACAACAAGAAGATATCATCTTTATCATTCTGTGCATCAAGACAAACATCAGGTTCACAACACAGTTCAATTAGTAGCACACTAACTCTCCTGTTGGAAATGTTATTCAATTGTAGTTAAATGTTGAAGCAATAGTTGCAGAAGCCTGAAGTGCCTTATAAAATAAATAACTGGTTGATTTTGAGAAAAGTTTAATTTCTTTGTCTTAAACAAAGCACAAACAGCACTAAATATCAGAGTGAAATGAAATCTACCACTCAAATTACCTATCTTTTGTCCCCATAATAACACTGTACCAGCATCAAAAGAGCTTCCTTCAGCCAAATAGGTCACACTATCTCCTAACTTCCATCCAATAACTGGGTATAAACCTAATGAGAGAAGTACACTGTAAGCAAGATTAATTTCAACCAATAAAGGGCTGTATATCAGTGCCTAACATTGATTAACATTGCAACATTATAAAGTCATTATCTTTAAGAACACTAACTGTAATAAACATGAAATATTTGGCTCAGATACCACATGCCTTGCATATATGTAGGCTAATTATTTTCAATCACCGAATTTCACATACCCAAAATGAAAACAAACCAATCAAACATGGTACACAATAACAGAATTTAAAAATAATAGTAATAAATATCTTATGCACACCTTTTTACCATTAGAGAACAGGAAAATGGGTATACCAACAGGTTTTTTCACAAAAATAGATCTTTTCTGTGCAAGATATTGTTAACAGTAAACAGTCTGGCTCTGTATAGGACTTTACCTAATTTGTATGCTCTTTCGAAGATGTAACATTTTGCATACAAATTAAACTGCTGAATTAATCTAGTTTCTTAATGACAATACCTAAAATTAGAAGTGATCATTTTTATTTCCTTTCTATATCTCTCTGTGCAAGTTACTCATACAGCTATACATTATTGTAATCTAAAATCCAACAGAGTCAGTTTATCAAAGCGAGTTATCTGTTGTAAGGAATTTCAGTGTTTAGTAACATCTTAATTTCACATTATGCAGAAATTTGAATGGTTATTATGTATAATGTTTACTGTTATTATGAATGAAGCATCGACTGATCTCTTATCATCATCCCTCTACTTTTTTGTAAAGTTAGTTAAAGAGTCATTTATCCAGTGCCATGTCAGTATAACATTAGCACTTAACAAAGGAGAGGTTTATTAGCAAAAAGTCAAATACAAGTTTAACATTCACTTACATTAAATTCAATGGATGAAAGACCAGACACACACAGTTATTTCATTTACTATCATATATATATATATATTTAAGTTTTTTTTGCTGAATCCAGAAAAATTTTATACGTCTTTAAATGTATTGCAACACCAGTTGTCTGTCTGTTTTGTGAAATTTCATGCAAAGCTACTTCAGGTCCATCCCTAATTTATAAATAACAAACTGGAGGGAAAACAGCTAGAAAACACCATCCACAACCAACTCTCAGGCTACTGTTTACCAATGGATAGTGGGATTGACAATCACATTATAACACCACCACAGATGAAAGGGTAAGCATGTTCTGTGATGGGACTTAAGCCCACGATCCACACACTGCGAGTCAAGTGCCCAAACCATCAGGCCATTACAGGCCTCTGTACCATCAGAAATTTAACAATGTGTTTATTGAATAATGAAAAAGGTTAAAAAACTTTGTGGGTGACTATTTTTCCAAATGTGTCAAAATAAATAAAAACCTATTTTTAGATTTAACCTAGATTGGCTAATATTATGGTTAGCTAGTAAATTAGGAAACACGACTACAAAAAATTTCACATTTTCTTGTCAATTATTCAGATCCTGAAAGCTTTACAAATCACCTTGATTCTTTAGTTGGAGGATCAAATATGAATGTTCCAAAAATTTATACACAAACATATTTTTAATGATCCCTTACATGTCCATGCCAATTTTCATCTAAGAAAGTGGATCAAGTCTTCAGAGCCTCCAAAATCTCTTTGATCTCCCATACTTTATATTATTATTTCGAACAACTCCTTACATTTTAACACCAATTTTCAGATAAATTAGTTGAGTAAAAGGATTCTTTCAAAACTTTTACTTCATTTCTATTCTGTAGGAGGTAAATCCATTTAGCTGATACATAGTTCAACAATATTTATGATAGTTTCATTTTGAATTTACTTACTGATTAAGTATATTTTATTACAAGTTATACCTTTTACAGTAAGTAAGATTTGTATTTAGAACAGGTACAATGTTTCGATCACTGGTGCGATCATTCTCAAGCACACAAGTTTTCTGTGCACCAAGAATGAGAATATTTTTATCAAATAATTCCAATAAAATTCATCATTTATTTACAGTAGTTTTTTGCACTCTGAATAGTTTGATTGCAAGGTGATTTTCATGTTAAGTATGAAATACTTTTTTCATATTACAGTTTTCAAATTTCATTTGCATAATCTCTAGAACCTCCTAAATGAATATCAAAAGTTTAAGGTAAATGTTTATTCTATTATTCACTTTCTCTACCATATTACTAACTGTAGCTATTATCATTAAGGTAGTACAAGAAAATATTTAAAATTAAAGACAGAGGGAAAATGTACATACCTTTTAATTTTTTTTTTGATTAATCTTAAAAGATCTTCTTTGGTTATAATCTTAATTTCATATCTTTACTTTTTCACATATAGTTTATTTTTAATTTCCCTTTCCTGTCCCTTAACATTATTATCTATTATGATACACATCAATAAATTGTAGGAGGAGCCTGAAAATCAAGTGAAACAAATACATATATTGGCACAACTCAGAATTACTATATAGATAATACCATTCTACTAAGACAACACTTGTAATATTTACACAGAAATCAATAAAGCAACTGTCAGCTATCAGATTTAAAAGTAGATTTCTAACACAAGAAAGGTTTAGTGCTGTCAGGTTCTATGGTAAAAATAACTAAGAATAATAATTATAATAATAATATAACAATGAGTAACTTTAACTTAAAAACAATGTGTATAAAACTGACAAATACGTGATGAACAATAATAGCATCTGAAGAACACCACAGACCAAATCTAAGTATTTTTTTTAAAGGTATCTGTTAGATATCTGCAATTTATCAAAGATAAAATTATTTGAACATGAGATGCATTGAATATCTTTACTACTAAGGGATTATGTAACAGACATTAAAACTACCAAATCTCAAAGTCTCATCCAAAGTAGTTGTTAAAGCCTGAATGTAAAAAAAAAAAATCTTTTACATGGTACAGTAACAACATGAATCTTTAGTTTATTTTTGTTTTTATGCTTGTTTCCAAATGTTTATGATGTTTTTGGTTACATAACTACAATATGGTAATCCACCTATTACTGTGTCTGAGTTTGTGCATTTTGTGTCCTTCATGAAGATTATGTTGTTCTACCTTTCATTTTTTCTGTTATTGAGTTTGTTTTTATACTTGGCTGATGTTCTAGTGACAATGTGTTTAGGGAAGTGACATTTGTTAATAAATGTATCAGATATTGACTAGTTCATGCTGTAGATTACTGATGCTGTTAAATGCTGTGTTGTAAATGCATGATAACATGCCAATTTTTTTTGTTCAGTTGAGTGGGCTGAGTCCGACTTTATATATTTAATTATCATTACCAGGTTTGTGGAAGATTTTTGTGATAAATAATTGGTGTTTCTTTCTATTGTTATGTTCATGTAATTTAAAACCTGGTTTTCATTTTCTTCTTCATGAGTGAATGTGATGTTAAGGTGAATGTTGTTTATATGTTGTAGAAATGACTGTTGATGGATGTTGTCTTCAAATCCACAAAATCCATCGTCGACGTATCTAAACCAGTGTGTAGAGCTGTGATAATAGCCTGACTTTCTATTTCGTTGATAAAGAATTCACATAATCCAGGTGATAGTGGGCTGTCCATGCTTAGGCTGTCAATTTGTTCACAAGTTTTACCTTCATAGGTAAAATATATACCTAGTGCAAAGTGGAACAAATCTTTCTAAATTTCTAAGTCAGGTTGTAGTTGTAATTCAATTTGTTTATTAAAGCTGTACATCTTGTGATGATTGTTAAAGGTGTTGATATTTGTTTTGGAATTCTAAAACACTTTTAAATATATATTTGTTATTGTCATGCAATGGTTTGATTAGAAAATATAAGAATTGTGCAAACTTATGATTGTAGCTGCCACAAGTTGAAAGGATGGGGCAGATATCAATTGTTTTTTTTCTGTATTTTTGGAGAACCAAATAAACAAGGGGGTACATATATTGGTGACTCTTAAGTTGCTGTACATGTCTTATGTGATATCGTTGTTCATTTTTAACTAAAAGTAGGCTTTTCAGTTATCTTACATAATATTTGTTAAGGTTTTTGGATAGTTCTTCGAATTTGGTTGAATAGTTCAATGTTTTTTTTCTATTAAGTTGTTGAAATTTTCTGTTTCCATAATTACAGTTTTACCACCTTTATCTGTGGATTTTTTTTCCTCTATTTTTTAACTACTTTTCGACTACTTGTGTGGCCATTATCAGGTAACTGTCGTCTATCGTAAGAAATATTGAGTGGGCATTTTTTTTACAATTTAGAAAACATACAGGATGACACCTGTGTTTTAAGTTTGGTTTTAATTAATGAATAATTAATGCTTATTTCATTTTTCTTCTATTAATGTTGTTCCCATTACAAATTATGCATGTTTTTATTCTGTACATATTTTTTGTCACTGCTAATTATCTTAACAAGTAATAAGAGACGAACTTATGATAGGCTGCCATATTTTATAACCTACCCTTGAGTGAGGCATGGGGTTTGTCTCCTGTGTTGATGTTAATAAATGCCCCAGTTCCAATAGTACACTTGACATCACCAACTTCAAAACAACATTCACCAAAAGTGGATGCTTGTTGGTCCCCTATCTAAAATAAATCTTGTTATAGTGAAATGCTGAAACTAATTCATTAAAACTAAATATATGACAAATACTGAAACAATACAATATCAAAAGTACTAATAATGCTACTTTAGAGGAAAATACCAGAGCAACTACAAGCTAAAATTTTATTCACTCTCTTAAAATCCCTTCTTGAATGAGGACAAAGCAAGCAAATATAAAATGATTTAAAAATTTATTTCAGAATCTCTTTTTCTTCAAAAGGTTCTTTGTGGCTCAAATTTCACTAGGCAGGCTTTGTTTTTCAAGTAGAAACTAAATTTAAACTAAGTTATGTGAAACTGTCATTTTCTGGAAATATTAATATTGAGTTAAAATTTCATCATATACTGCATAGGTGTGTTTTATGTAGTTTAATTTATATTAGTAGAAGATTTTTGAAAACATATGATAAAAATATAAAATAATAATGGTATATTTGAAAATGGTAAAATCTAAATTCACACACACACACATGTATATATATAGTACTATGCAATATGTTAATTGTTCATAGGCAATTAAAATCAGCACTATAAAACAATAATGAACTTAATATAAACCAGAAACAATATAATAAAATTTAAAACTCAAAATTATGCCTCCATTATCATTCCTTATGGCATCTTTAAGTCATAATGGACAACAACAAGAAATGATAAAAGAGACATAGTTCTTAGTTTAAATTTTATTGTTTCTGGTATATATATATAAAATAATTTTCTCTAAGATGTGAGCTAGGTTTCATTAACAAACATCTTTAATAAAGGTACTATATTTTAAGTATGAAAAATAATTTTATTAGAAATTTATTTCTAAATTAATACTTAGTGGTAAAATAAAAACTCGGAGATACTTCTACTATTACGATAGTGGTTTCATTTGTTTATGCCATCTACAATCTTATAAGCTGATACAAGATTACCACAAAGTTTTATGCCCTCTACATTAATCACATTACTACCACGTGTTACAAATTATGCCTGCCTCAACTTAATAAATACGTGTATCAAAACCTAGCATGATCATATTTACTTCATGACCAACCTACTGTTGGTAGGGAAGATACATAATAGAAAATAATCACCTCTGAATTTTACCATTTATTTTAAACACAACATCAATAGCTAGAAGTTCAATGATGACACAAAGGCAGGATCAGAAGGGGCAAAATATTCTGGGTCACTCTTTGAAAAGAAGAAGCATTAACCCTCAGTATGTACTAAAGCAAGGAACAGCTGGTGAGTTCATTTTCTACAAGCACTTAAGTGTTTGATATTAAATTATAAGTCATACAATAGTGTTACTCATTGTTAGCCCCAGAACAACACATCTGGGAGTTAAAGTTGCTGATTTTAAAGGGCTACCTTCAGTGACTACTTTGAAAAGACAGAGAGGTTATGCCAGACCAGATTTTCTATGGAAGCCTACATTGAACAGTGTCAAAAAGCAGTGCAATGGGTTCCTAAAGAACACCAATTATGATCCATAAAAAATATGTCCAAATCAAGTCTTTTACATAAATAAACCAAGACATACAAGGCACCACAGATTCCTTAAAACAACTAGTGCAGCTACAATAAAGACATTTTTGAAAACACAATCACAAAACGTATTGGAAGGTATTCGCCTTTATTGTTGTCCATAACTATCAGAGTAGAGAAAAGAAATCCACTTGATAATATTATACGGATAACATAAAAAAAAGTAATTCAAGTGAAGATATTAACAGACTTTGATCGACATTCCTCTATTAAAGTAATACCAATGGTACTATACAATGATTCTGGATGCACCAAACAACCAATTTGACAATATTGGACATTAAGAAAAATTACAAACAGACTCATCATAACTAAAAGGTAACTAAGGCAAAACTATGGAAGAGGAGAATTATCCAACCAATGCTCAAAAATATCTCTTTGGTAAAGAGCTGCAACTACAAAGACTTTTCATGAAATTAGATAAAGTTTATATCAATAGTTTGAATTTTCAGACATCTTTGAACAGAAGCAAATTAGTATGAGGAACCAGTCACCCCACCAAAAAAAGGAAAAGGGTCACAAGTTATATAAAGCTCAAAAGAGGCTTTAATATAGGGCTTAAAGTACCAAGTACCGAGTCAAAAAATAGTATTGAAAAACTGTAATAAATGCTCTGTCAATTAAAGAAAAACACCTCAACCAAAATAAAGAGCCACTCTATAAACTGTATATCACTGTAGAGGACATATCCATGACATCATAGTTAATTTCACAAAATACCTTATTTACTTTATTATTCAACTACCCTGAACAAGTGGCGATTTATATCAATATTAAGTACCTGTATGCAATAAATTACTGAAAGTATTTTTTATAGTAAAAAAGTCCAAACAAAACCATGAAAATTGAAACAGTTCAGCACCAGGGCAGTAGAAATTATTCAGTAATTCTAAATTGTTATGGAATTAGAGAGAAATGTAAAATTGTGTTATACTTACTATTGCTGTGATTGGAATTCCAGCACCAAATATTTCAGGAGTTGTCTTTCCAAACCAGCCACTAAAAGAAAATTATCATTATATTCCACAAATGCTAAATACTGAAGTTATAGTGAATATTAATAGGACTTTTAAGAACAAGAACCCATGCTACCCTTGGAACTACTTTCTTCATCACCAATCATACTCAATCTATTTTATGATTATACACGATTTTCCTACACCACAATTTCCAGCGCAACAAAATTTTTCAAAGAACAGCAAGTTCAATCTTGATCATACATCTTGACAAAATTTCCAAAACTCTCCACTGTGCATGTAAATTAGTTTCCAAGACTAAAACCACATTTAAAGAGACCTCAGGCACTGAAATGAAACTGCACCAAAAGACTTTACACATATGTAGCTGAATGCAATTATTGTGATTCCAGTTTCTTCGTCCATCTTTCTCAAGCTGTTAATTTCAAACAACGGCTGAAAGTTTGTTTACTTTAAATCCTTGTTTATCATTTTACTAATGACACCAGGAGATAATCCCAACGTTTTTGTTTTTTGGATCAGATGGTTTTCTTTCATAACAATAATGGTCATATCCAGATGAGAGTTGCTTCAAGTTGGTCTGGGATGTGGTCTTGAAGCCTATCGTTCTCAACATTTAAGTGGATTTTTACTGCTTTCAGGAAGAACATTGAAGGCTACTTTCTTTAAAATGTTGTATTGTTTGGTTCTATGGTCTTTGTAGCATTTTGCTGCCATGTGGTCAGGGAATCATCATAAACCCAATATATAGGTGATAATATGTTGCCCCCTGGCACCACAGCAACATACCACTGTATCAGCATATGCAATTCATTTTTATAAGGTGCAATTAACTCTCTGTATATGTACAAACCAGATTTGTTTCCTCAGTACTGAAATGATATACATTCCAGAAATTACTTTAACTAAGGAATAATATAAACTTAGATCTTAGTAAAAGTAAGCATTTATAACCAAATAATAGAAAAAGAATAGAAAAATCATAAGTGTGACTATTCCTTGTATGTGTTAGCAGATGATCAATATATATAAAAGCCAAGTGTCAGTTGGTCGGTCACACTTGATTTCTACGAATGTTGTGAGTTACACAAATCCAATTCCACTTTTTCTCCTATAATACTTCCTCTTTTGATTGCCCGTTGTCATTTTAATTGAATTTAATCACTAACATAGATGTAAATAGCTCCTACATTGTGGCACTTTTTTCAGCTTTATAAAAGCCTGTCCAGGAGGGAGTTCCCAGGACCAGATCAGGCATGGTGTTATGCATGTGACATCATATCATTATGACGTCAAGCTAGGTAGGATACGAATAGGAAAGCCCGGAAGACTCGCGTGATAGAATACAGAAGTGCATTCACACCTTATCAACACCTGTCATAAATTAGTGTAAATCTATGCTTGGAAATTATTTCAAAAAAGCCTTTGTTAAAACAGACTAAAGATGTCAATTATCTGTAGGGAAGAGGACAACTTTTCATCAGAAGAAGAATCAGTGTGTATGCAATCACATGTTCATCATATGTTTTAATCTTTTATCCAAAGACACCAATATGTAGCATGTTTGCCCAGTTATATATAGTGGATTTAGGAGCAATATGTCGCATGTTCCTGGGAAAGGAAATTTCATATTTCTTTTTATCTATTTCTATTGTGTATTGCCAGTTTTATACGGAATAACATTGATCTACAGTGGTTTTCCGATTTTTGATGGGCTTTTACACCAGTGATTTATATAACCTTTTAACTGAATAAGTAATTTAACATTCTATTACGCTAAGATGGAATAAGATAAAACATGCATTACTTTACAAATATAATAAAAATTAAGTTTCCTTAATTTGATTTTACTCTGTCATTGAAACCTCACAGGTATATATTCAATACTCGTATTCGTCCTGAGTTTGCTGGGAAAATTATGATATATTTAGCCACTGTACCATTCTATGCATATTGATACGCCATGAACTATACACACAATTTTGTGTTCTGAAACCCATATCTTTTAAAATTACAGCAATAATTATTATCATTACATATTCCAGTTAGGTTATTGGAAAAAAAACATTTACTAACCTGCAAAATAAAAAGGCAGGCAGTGTTTTACTTTTCCATGGCTTCAATTCCACTCATTGCTGTTGCCATCAGAATTTAGGTTCACAATTACAGTTTCGTGTACAAATTCTGTGGCAACATCCTTTACCCAAGGTTTTGTTTCCTCCTCTGTGATATGTGATAAATAGTTTTGCCAGTTTTCAGTTTTTTAACTTAGCTGTTAGTGGTTTCCCTTTACATCAGGAGGGGAAATAATTTGGGGACTTCATGTTCAATTACTCACGATTTTGACAACTTGAATTACTCACATACAGCTAAGCAAAAAAGAGTCATTAGAATTTACTTTTTTACCACAGCTCATGAAAAAAAAATATAGTAAACTTATAAAAAAATCTTTTTACTGCTTAGAATAATAATACTACCAATTTTGAGTGCTATAACAACTTTGAAACGCTAATACATATTTAAAACAAATTATTTTTTGACACAAAAGCACATGACGACATTACTGCAAACTCAAGTTGAAGATGAGCATAAGTTAAGACAAGTTTTGAAGACGCTATGGGTGGAGATCTAGTTTTGATAAATTTAATATCAATGCTGTTATTGAAAAAGCTTTTTATAAATTCACAAGTGCTAAGCCAATTCCCACACAATCCTTCCTAATTACTGTTAGGTTCATTAATATAATCTTGACAAGCAATGGTAAAGTATTAACCATGTTTCTTTCTAAAAACTTTGTAAAATACTTGACACAATTTTAAAAGGCCTAGAGTTTGGGAACTAGCAAAGACACACAGTGGGGTCAAGAAGTGGGTGTCAAGGGTTTTAAGAATTTGCTATTAACAAATAAAAAACCTAAATTTATAAATAGATAAAAGTCAAGGTCTGTAAAGACAGATACATAAACAAGTCAAACTGTTGCTACTGATAGCATTTTAGTGTTGAGAATGAGAAAGTTGCAATAAGTCAACAAACCTACATTTCAATTTATCAAAATACATTGTGAATAATGTTAAACAAGTGTCAGTAAAACAACACAGCATTAGGTAAAACTAGACCACCGTGACCTGTTGGGTCAACCACTATTCAGAGGTTAAGAACTCAAGCTAATTTCAATATTGCACCGAAATGAAGGTTTATTTTGAGATAATTTAATTAAATATTTCAATCCATTCGTGATTTTCATAATTCAAGAAAATATATTTGTTTGTTGTTCGGAAGTAAAAGGAAAGACCATTCATTTTTCAAAAAAGTGAAGTAAGAAGTTTCGTAAAGAGCGCAAACGGTAGTGTGAAT